AACTTTGCTTTCTATGCTAGCAAAGCCTTGACCATTACTTTAGTTTGGTTCAGGCCTCATACTGGGCCTTCATTAGGCCTTTACTATGTTGCCTTCACTTACTACATCAGCAAGGCTTGACCACTACTTTAGTTGAACCCTTATATCAGGCCTCATGTTTCAGGATGTCGTGGGGTATGCACACCCCATCCCCCCTGGGCAGGGCAGGGTTGTGATACCACTGCTGTTACGGTCTCCCTGACAGTCTTTAGGCTGAAAGTGGTATGGCCCAGAGGCCGGAGACTGTGTAGCAGCCCTTGGGGTCAGGGCAGTGCTGCCTAGTGGCCAGAGTCAATTACAGCAGCCCTTGCGTTCAGGCCAGAGTCCATGTAACAGCCCTCAGGTACAGGGTTATACTGAGGCAGCAGTTGGAGGATGCCCAGCATGGTCTGAGGGGCGGGACTTCTGCCGCCCGTAGTGTGGGGTTAACCCTCTTTTGTCCAGTACAGGGTATGCTCACACCGTCTCTTTCTACTACAACACAATGTGTCAAAGTGGGGTTTTCCCTTGTTATGTTGTATGTGAGCCTATGTGAGTTTTACTGTTTTGTATGAATACTGTGTGTGCCTCAGTTTCCCTGTGTGCTGCACCGCCTCAGTGGTGGGAATAGGGGTGTGTGACTTTGGCTGAGACCCTCTAGGGCAGGTGAGGCTGCTGCAGCTATGGCCGGTGCCCTTCGTAACCTGAGACCCAGGAGGGGGATGCACCCAGGTGACACTTTGCCCGGAAGCGAGAAATGGGGGTGTCGGAGGTTAGGTCGCTAGGCAGTCTGCTTGGGGGGCCTGGAAGAGGGGGAGTTAAGGGCGTCTGGCCCAGGACTCCCCAAGATGGACTTGGCTGAAAGTCACTGATTTCTGGGCTAATAAGTTCTGTTCCTCGCTGTGATCCTGTCGGCGAATAAACCTATTTTCCCAGCTGGCTGAGAGTCACGTCTGACTGCGGAGTTGGGGGGCAGGGCCCTCTGGCTGCCCCAGGACCCCGCCTGGGCGGACTCGCTGCGGGAAGCGCATGGTGTGGAAGGGGATGCTGGATGCTCCGAGGCCAGATCCAGAAAAATCAAAGCGGTGGAAGCTTCTTGCCCCGGTGACAGTCTGCTCCGAGAGAGGAGGCTCCCTCAGAGTCCTGCCTGGCTTCATATGGAGCAGTTCCAGAGCATCGCCCGGGGACGCCGTACACACCTAGGTTCCAAATTCCCCAGGAAACCTTGGATGTGGCTCTCCCCTCGCATACTACACAGTAATGCCACTGCACAGTGACTTACCTGGCATGCACGAGAAGAGAACCAGGGCCCTCGCTTTCCCCTTCACAGAGGTAGCTCCCACAGTGTGCTGGGTGCTGCACAAGCCCCCAGAAGGGCACCATCCCTGCCCCCAGAAGCTTACTATGTGAGCAGGGAAAGGGGAGGTGTGTGTGTGTCACACACACCGGATGAGGAGTCATCTCAGGAGTTAGCCACTGCAAACATTGTGCAGTGTCTTCATTGAATCACAGAAATGCAGGGCTGGAAGGGACCTTGAGAGGCCATCGACTCCTCGCCCCCAAACACACACACACATGCCGAGGCAGGCCCAAGTAAACCTAAACCATCCCTGACAGGTGTTTGTCCAGCCTGTTCTTAAAAGCCTCTAATGCTGGGGATTCCACAACCTCCCTTGGAAACCTCTTCCAGAGCTTAGAAAGCTGTTCCTAATATCTAACCTAAATCTGCCTTCCTGCTGATTCAGCCTATTACTTCTTGCCTTATCTTCAGTGCCATGGAGAACAATTGATCCCCCCTCCTCTTCGGAACATATTTGAAGACTTATCAGATCTCACCTCAGTCTGCTTTTCTCAAGACTAAACATGCCCAGTTTTTTAACCTTTCCTCATTGGTCAGGCTTTCTAAACCTTTGATCGTTTTTGTAGCTCTCTTCTGGAATTCCTCCAATGTATCTACAGCTAAAGTGCGGTGCTCGGAACTGGGCACACTTCTCCCGCTGAGGATTCAGCAGGGCCGAGCAGAGCAGAACAGTTACCTCCTGTGTTTTACAACCCTAGAACAAGACTAGTCTTTTCTGCAACTGCATCACACTCTTGGTCACATTCAATTTGTGATCCACTATAACCCCAGACCCTGTTCACCACCTAGCTGGTTATTCCCCATTTCATAGATGTGCACTTCATTTTTCCTACCTAAGAGCAGTACTTTGCACTTGTTTTATTAAAATTTCATCTTGTTGATTTCAGACCAACACTCTAATTTGTCAAGGTCCTTTTGAATTCTAATCCTGGTCTCCAAAGGGCTTGCAGCCCCTCCCAGCATAGTGTCATCCACACATTTTCTAAGCACACGCTCCACTCCATTATCCAAGTTGTTAATGAACATACTGAATAGTACTGGCCCCAGGGCTGACCCCTGCAGGACCCCACTAGCTCGGCCCTCTCAGTTTGACAGTTAACCATTGATAACTACTCTTTGAGTACGGTCTTTGAACCAGTCGTGCACCTACCTTCTAGTAATTTAATCTAAACCACATTTCCCGAGTTTGTTTGAGAATGTCATATGGGACTGCGTCAAAAGCCTTCCCAAAATCAAGATATAGTGCGTCTACAGCTTCCCCCCACCCACTAGGCCAGTAACCCGGTCAAAGAAGGAAATGAGGTTGGTTGGCATGATCTGTTCTTGGCAAATGCATGTTGGCTATTTCTTATCACCCTGTGTCCTCTAGGTGCTCACACATTGCTGGGAGGGGGAGCTTATTCCTGCACTATGAAGGTAACCCCTTTCCTCTCTTCACGCTAGGCCAAAGTTTAGAGCACCGTCGGCCAGCTGGATCGAGAGGGGTGAAGTGCTCCAGGCAGGCAGCCCCTAACCCTCTCGAGGCACATGGCAGCTTCTGCACTCCCTGCCTTGCCCGCCCGCTGAGGTAGGGTCTGCCTGTGCAGGCAGGGCTGGGCCTTCTGTACATGGTTGGCAGGGCGGCACTAGCTGAGCCTACGTCTGCCATAGTCCCTCAGGTCTGTGCTCTGGGGTGCCTGATCCCATCCCTACATGCGCCCCCTGCCCCACTGCTGCTGGGGCCCAATCATCCTCCCTGCCTGCTAACACCTGTCTGGGGCTGAACCCAGAGCTGGAGTAACCTCCCCAGTTCAGGACTGGAAGCCAGTTCCAGAGACAGCCCATGGCATGTCCTACAGGGGAGGCCCACATTGTTAGCCAAATGGGCTCGTTTCCCCCTGGAGCTGCCCAATTACCCCAAGGAGGCACGGGAGTCTAGAAGACGGCTTCAAGTTCTTTATTGATCAGTCAGCTGAGCGGGTGTCCCCCTCGACTCATGCCAGAGGGAGGAACACACCTTACAAGCGTAGAGCAAGCCTTTTTATACCCAGTAACAAATGACTTAACGTGCATACATTCTGCTGACCTAAGGAATTTTTAAATTCCTTTCTAGGGGTATATAGGATACATCTGTTGGGGCCCCCTTGACTGATTGCTTTCCAGGGATAGGGGTAAATGGGATACATCTGTTAGGCCGTAAATAGGATACTTTTGTTGGGCCTCCTTGATTGATTGTCTTGCTATACGTTCATATACGGGAAATGGAGCTGTGGCCATGTGGAACAGCTGGGATAATAGGCGAGTATTTGGCCTTTGTTCTAACAAGGTTCTCCCCCCTTAAAAGCATTTTGAGAGCCCTATGGCCCCCAATCCTCAACTTTAACCGGTTGATATAGGGCCATCATGCGTTGGCGTACAATTTGATTAGCCATTCGTCGGACTAATGCAACTACACAGGGAGCAAAGCAAGCTAGGGATAATAGGGTTGTAATAAAGAGTATAAAGAGAAGAAGGCCTTCTCGGAGCCATCCCAGTTGCGGTAACCAGGACGTGAACCAGTCCGTATTCCACCCACCCCATGCTTGGACCGGGACATGGGCTAGCTTTCTCATTCCTTTTGTTAGCTGTTTTACCGCCCTTCCATTATCATCTATTTGTAAACAGCAATTAGATTCGTTTAATTTTGCACAGATTCCCCCTTCTTCTGCCAGCAAATAATCAAGAACTAGATGGTGCTGGTAGAGCACATTTCTCATCTGAGTGGACTGATCGGCCAAAAGATCGAGAGCTGCAGCCGTTTGATTAGTTATTACTTCTAAAATGGCTTGCAGCCTAATTATCCGATTTAGGTTGTAAATGGGCTCCCTTGCCCCTGAGATCCAATTATTAGGATTCCATGTAGCTGGACCATAATGTTTTATAATTCTCTCAGGGGGCCACTCTTGAGCTCCCCACGTTTGGGAGCTTCCAGCGGTTAATGCGGGATCAACGGACCGCTTCTCCCTAATCAAGTCGTCATATACCTTAATTTCTAACTTATTTCCCAGAATTTGGGGTAGTAGAAAGAACAAGGGCCTAATGTACCCAACATAACATATTCCTGTCCAATTTGGAGGCAATCTCCGATATGCGTGTTGCCCACATA